AATTTCACGGGTGTGCTAGAATTCACAATTCCCACCAGGAAGGCAGGAAAGGGGGAGGAGAAAGGGGAAGGGGTTTCACCACTTCCAGAACCAGACATGATAGGAAGCTGAAAATTCACATGAATTTTCTGCCCATTTCTGTGCAAAAAGATTTTAAATTCAGCTATCACGCACACCTATATCACGCGTTCGAACAAATCAAAGTTGAAATTCAGGCACTTTTTAGCAAAATGCATGTCCGAGAATCAGGTTGGATAGAATGCCTAGTCGTCACGAGAACGATTGTTGCCCGCATATAGGCACGTAGGCTGCACTAGCCTCCTGATGCACACCCTATCTATTTTGTTTCAGAACCCTCATGGATTTATGTCACAAATCATATAAGAAAGTGATTCAAAGTGCGACAACAAACATTGATCGGCGAAAACTGTGCGAATGGTGGCGATTGTTTGTCGGTAATTTTTGAGCAGACATGTTCATTTTTATCCGTTTTTTGCAACTATGCAATGCAGAAAACGCATATTGACGAGAGGTTGTCTGTGTGTTCGTGTGTCTGTGTGTGCGTCTGTACCGATTTTTCATCTCAAGACCTACAAAAGCTACAGGGCTGAAACTTTGGGACCTTAGTCTACATGCACGTACGGACCACAGTTTCCAAAATGGGCCTTCTTACCCGCGTGGTACCCACGCACGGATCCGCCAAAGTTTTTCACGGGCAAGCTACTAACTCGGGAACCAGAGATGCTGGAAAGCTATAATTTTAATGGGACGTTCCACGTCCACATACGTATTAATGAGCTCAAATCCAGCCCTCGAGTGTGCGTGGTAACCAAGTACTGGCCCGTGAAAGTTTTTTTCGGGTAAGTTGTTAACTCGGGAAGCTGAGAAGCTGGATGGCTGGAATTTTAAAGAAGTTTTCCTCCGCTAATTAGGTATTAACCTGATAGAGGACTGCAGTTTTGAAGAGATGTTTCACGTCTACCAAGTATTAATGAGCTCAAACCCAACCCCTGAGTATGCGTAGTACCCACGTACAGGCCCGTGGAAGTTAATAACTCGAGAACCTGAAAAGCTGGAGGGCTGGAACTTTAAGGGGCTGTTCCACGCCCACGCAGGTCTTAATGAGTTCATGCCCAGTCTGCGGGTATGCATGGTTCCCACGTACGGGCCCATGAAAATTTTTTATGGTAAGTTGCTAACTCGGAAACCAGAAAAGCTAGAAAGCCGGAATTTTAAACGGATGTTTTCAGACAAAACTGACGGCTAGTCTCAATTCTTTTAGCTAGAAACATTTGGAGGAAAAACTGGTGCTGCTAGTGACAAAAACCTGCGGGGAACTATGCAAAAAACACATCTTCGCACCGACAGTCGGTGCTTTGGCCAATTATTGCTGGCTGTAGCATAGTAAAAACGCACATTGTGATGAAACCGGTGTGTGTATGTGTGCGTCTCTGTCCTAGTATTTCAGCTTGGCAATCAAGCAAGATTCAGCGCTGAGATTTTGCCAGTGGGTTTCCCGGCCAAGTGCTGCCCCAGGACCACGGTACCAGCCCTCACGCACGTCTAGGCCCGCATGCGAGCACGTGAAAATTTTGGTGGGAAAATTGCTAACTCGGAAACCAGGAAAGCTGGGAAGCTGAAACTTTAAGAGGATTTTACCAGCCCATACAGATAAAGCGCCCAGCTGTGCGTGGCTCTCACCTACAGCCCCGCGAGAATTTTTGGTGAAGAATTCGTAATCCGGGGACCAGAAAATTTAGGAAACTAAAATTTTATCGGAATGTTTCCTGTCAAAGTACTACGTAGCTACACAATTAACTTTCTGGACTTTGAGGACAGGCATGTCACAAATTCTAGCTACTGGGATTCCAGGCGATCTTACTACAGCAGGAAATACTGCGAAAACGGATGATTGCACAGGCCCGCCTAGTGCGCGTCATCAATGATTGTAGCAGCAGCGACTCAGAAATGAATGATAGACCAATAATGATACAGGCTGTCAAATAAGGAAATGCAAGACGAGATTCTCTGCAGTAGCAAACGGTCGTTCACTGACTCATTCGGGCCTCTGGTGTCTTATTTGCATACACATGCAAAATTCAAAATTATACGCTTTATTGTTTGTTCGGTTGCTGCAGGAACAGATCACCGCAGTCAGTTTACTTTTCATTGTTTGTTGGTCGGTTTGGATCTACTTGTGACTATGGCCAGGCAAAATCGCGCTTCTGTGATGATTTTTTGAAATCTACAAATTTCAATCATGGATTGGACAGTTTTTTTTTTGTTGTTTTCAAATCGATCAGTTTTTTTTTACTTCGATTTTTAACGGCTGATCAAACAGTGACGATGTTTAGTAATCCGCGCCCTGTTTTTTTTCTCTCTTTGTTCGTTTCCTCAAGGGTGCTGGCATCTGCGCTGTGAATTGCGAACAAATCCAGGAGGGCATCCCAGAACGGTCGACCGGTGGCAGACGCACCACCCATCAACTCTGTTTTTTGCTAAACACGGTATTCCTGAATTGCCCAGTCCAGCCAGCAGGTGAATCCAATTACCCATACACTGCTGGCAGACGCCACGCGTCGAGAGCCTAGTTGTATTCTATGCCTTTTTTGCTTTGCAGGTATATGAGCCACTCGTCCCCGTTTTTCGTCCCTTCATCTCCGCGTCTGTTCACCTCCTCCGTGCTATGCC